AAATGTCTCCTGACGGCTGTGGTAGACTCTAACTTAGCCATTAATACCACGATTTGAATTCGTAACTGTAAATTGATCGACATATCGTTTTACTGAAATAACATACCTTGCATAAATTGTTCACTATCATCCAGAAGAGTATTGGAACACTTTGCAGCCAACAAGTGACCAGCGCTATAACTTATTAAAAGATGTAGCTAAAAGCATATCTTTCAAATGAGTTCTTGCATAGTCTTCTATGAGGTCATGTCAAAACGAACATTTATTAAAACGAGAGTGCACGATATTGATGATTTAAAGACGAGAATAACTCGAGAAATCAAAGCGATAAAAACAGAAACATTGTGCATGTTTTTTCGGACTTTTGGGACACACTGTACTTTACAAATCATTATAGTAGAAGAGAGTATTATTAGTGCTATTAAGCTAATATATTAGACCAATATGTACTTTTTCTTGCTTATTTTCCTGTTTCGTATACAACATTTCCCTTGACACAATAACACCAGCGGTGCGAAGAGGTGAGAGCAGGATTAAAAACGAAGAGAGAGCAACAAACTTCTTCAGACGCAGCGGTATCCCTGCTTCTTATTTCTGCACTATATTTATTTTTGATTTATCTAGAATTTGCATCTTGTCCGATTTCTTTTCGACTGCTTAGGAAAAACACATCGTTCTTATAAACAAATGATAGATGAAATTGTTCAATTGCGTCCAAAATTTTCACCACAAAATATAATGATGGATTATGAACGTGCTGTTATTAATGTATCCAGCAAAAAATTTCCATTATGCGCACATATCTGGACGTTTCTTTCATGTTAAAATGTTTATCATCGTGTGCAGGATTCAGGTCTTACAAAATTATATGCGGATGATCCAGACTTTTCACAAAATATTCGATCGTTAGCAGTATTATCGTTTTTACCAACAAGTGATATTATTTCAACATTCGAACAATTGAAACAACAATTTCCAGCACAAGGGCAACCAACTATTAATTATTTCGAAGAAACATATGTCGGTATAAAAAATCGTTTATCTCGTCCACATAAACAACCAAAATTTGAATTAGACTTATGGAATACACGTGAAAATACAATTCAAGGACGTCATCGAACTAATAATATCGTTGAAGGACGGCATAGTCGGTTATCAGCACTGTTTAATTGTAAACATCCAAACTTCTGGAAATTTCTCAAAAATTTGAAAAAGAACAAAGAACAAAGTTATGCTAATGTTGAATTAATTCAAGCTGAAGCTGGAGCACGACAACCTATGAAAAAAGCAACAACAATAAGAACGTATAGTAAATATTTTAAATGATACATCAACAACAAATTTAGAAAAAGTATCAGCAATAGCTCAAAATATTACGTTAAAATCGTAATTCATTATATTATTTTTCATAACATTGACATCTTTTAAAAACAATTAACATAGACAGATGTGTTTGAATGATTTGAATGTGCATTTTGTAATGCGCTTATATAAATAGGATTAAAGAACAATCGAAAAGAATAGAAAGTACAATACCGAAATGAAAAAACTGTTGTGACTTAATTTCGATAAAAGATCTGAGAAAGGAAAAAACAGTCCTGTATATTTTGCTAAGAAATGAACTTTCATTTTTGGCTCATTACTCATTATTTAATATACACTATTCTTCCACGTAATTGAAAAAAATTTGGAATTCTTAAAGTTATCACTCTTGTGCAGCATCTGCCCTAAGGAACATTTGTCCTAGGAGAGCAAGTGTCTCGGAAACAAGTGACCGAGAAGCAACTGTACGAGAAGCATAAGACAGGGATTCCTTTTGATGAGAGAATCGTTATCCATCTTACGTCAGCCACCGACTCTCAACAGAACCATATGTTCTGTCCGTTTGGTCGTCTTCTGATGGTCTCGTAAGAACGAAACCCAGTGTTAAAATGAAGTAGGTCAATATTTCTCGACTCCAGCGGTGACGCTTGTCATTTTACACAAGCTAATAAGTTTATTTGTTAATAGTGGCCTGTACCCTAACTTTTTTTTCTTCCATTTTACGTACAATGTAATTTTTGTTTACATAATATGTGTTTATCTGTCTTTGTCTCTCTCTCTGTGATAGATCTGTTTTCCTTTTGTGAAATTTAATTTGTTCTTACGTCTTGATATTGACGACGAAGCCGTCGAAACGTTGACAAATAAATCCTTAGAATGCAAATTCAGTCTTTAGCTAAATCCACCTCGCAAATCAGACATGGTTACAAAAAGCTTCCATTAATGTTGTAGGTTTGCAGAACAGTATAGTAATCATGGGAAAAAGTCACTCACACATTAAAAGTCTAGTTGAGTTAGATTTTACAATCCACCACTACCATCAAAATATAACTTCTATTTACCTTGTTGACGTCCAAAAATCACCGCGACTGGAATAACAATAGCCAAAATAATCAGACATGCTATTATACCCAATATGATTAATAAAGATTTTTTCGTCAACCATCTAAAAAGAGTCAAGTTTTACAATCATCTTTCAGCATATACTTACCATATACTCACGTTGCTTTACTTGGTATTTGACGTAATGCTGATTGGTTTAATTTGATAAGCGAAGGTGATTCAACTGAAGCCTAAATCATACACTGTCAAGAATCACGTAAAGAATGACATAGTCACTTACACTTTTTGCTGATGATTGTGTTGATTTGGGGGAATTTAATATTTTATAACGTTCATTTGATATAATTTGACGTTTTTGAATCGGTTGTGGTACATAGGAAAAATCTCGCTCGCTACTCAACGGCATTTTGTTCTTGTATAATTGAAAGTGAGAACTAAGTACATCCTACATTTATTGATTGACAACAACAAAGAGAAAACAAACCGTTGTTTAAATGAAATTGAAAATACACTTACATATTGTCGACAGATGACAAAATGAATAAGAATGAGACACTTTACTCAATACCTTCAAAGTATAAACGTGCGCACTGTGTGTTAATCCACTCAGACAATGTTCGATTGTTCGTTATATCGAATACTACTAAATGTGAGTAATAGAGTAAATTGCGCTGCCATTGTACGGTTTGATCAAAAAACATTTCGAGAAAACAGGCTTTAAGCGAAGAAAAAGTCGGTCGTATGTTCGATAGAGTGCTGTCGATTACATATTTAATACACTATTTTTCCGACTGTCACTACTTTGTTTCTCTAGATATTGAAATTTTTCGAAATATGCAGAATTCCTGTCTGATAACGAAGTAGAGTAAACCAAAAGAAAAGTACCTGAGTTATATGTCAATTGATAGAACTTGAGAGAGACAAAATCGATAGAGGTGCAAACCGACCTCCCGACATTATAAACATCTAAAACTTAACAGAAAATGTTTCGTGCGTACAAACAGCACGAATAATATATAAATAATATATAAATACAATGCGATCATTTACTTAAGAATAATAATGAAAATCCTATTTTCCTTAATTACCTTGAAAATCTTCAAGATTCAATAATATTTTTATACATTTGTGAAGTAGACATCTCAGGCGACATGCCCGTATAGTTATCTCAAAAATCATTTTTTTGACGAAAATCGACCTTTTGACGGGAGGGAATGGCCTAGACGCATCTTTCCAGAAAGAAAGAAAAGAGACGCGTTTAAACGCGCCTCATTCTGACGCGTCTAGGCGTGACAGCAATGGCTTGGTGAAGCTGCGCGTTTAAACGTGTTTCTCGGTGGAAAAGGTAAAAAAAGAATGCATCTTACCGCGTCCAATGTTTTTCCTATAAAAAAGGCGTTTAAACGCGCCTTATTCTAAACCGTCAAGGCGTCAAATTTGACTGCGTTTAAACGCGTTTCGTTTCAGAAAGACCCGGCTTTCACGCGAAACATTTGCAGACACGTTTAAACATGTCGCATACAAACGCTGATGAAGACTGTTTCTCGAAAAAGTCTTGATGCTTCGTTTCGAAACGAAACGTGTTTAAACGCGTTCTTTCAGATGTATTCGATTTACATGGAACAAGAAGAAAATAACAACAGACAATGACTTTACTTAGCTAAACGTACTTTACGTTCGTATATAAAGTTAACATATTTTATCAGCTAGCGGAACAGATGTCAGGGCAGGACGTTTTGCAACAGACACGTTTAAACTTGTTGCATGCAAACGCTGATGAAGACGCATCGCTTTTGACACCCGCACTCCCAGTAAACGTTGTCCGTTTATTTCTGTTGTAAAACGCCCAGCCCTGACATCAGTTCCCATAGCAGAAAAACCAT